CCGTGACCCCCCGTGACCCCCCCAGGACCCCGAACATCGACCGCCTGGCCCGCGAGGGGGTGAAGCTGACGCAGCACCTGGCGGCCGCGCCCCTGTGCACGCCGAGCCGCGCGGCCTTCCTGACGGGGCGCTACCCCGTGCGCTCGGGTGCGTTAGCATGATTTTAGTGCGTGTTAGCATGTTGTTAGCATGTTCTTAGCATGTTGTTAGCATGTTGTTAGCATGTTTTGGCATGTTTGAGCGCGTTAGCATGTTTTTAGCATGTTGTTGGCGTGTTTTCGGCGTGTGCGTTGGCCCGGGAGGCCGTGTGAGCGCGTGGGGGTCGCCCCAGGGTGCGGGGGGACCTCGACACGTGTCGGTGCGTGGGATCCTGCGTGTGAACATGCGTGTCTTAGCGTGTTGTTGGCGTGTTTTTTGGCGTGTGTGAACGTGTGTTAGCGTGTTTTCAGCATGTTTTACCATATTTTTGGCGTGTTTGAGCATCTTAGCGTGTTGTTAGCATGTTCTTGGCATGTGTTAGCTTGTTTTTGGCGTGTGCGCAGGCACAGGAAGCCGTGTGAGTGCGTGGTGGGGCGGGGCACGCGTGTCGGTGCTGTGTGTGAGCGCGTGTGTGAGCGTGTTCGCATGTTTTTGGCGTGTTTGAGCGTCTTAGAATGTTCTTAGCATGTTTTTCGCATGTGCGTTGGCCTGGGATGCCGGGTGAGCACCCGTGCGAGCGCGTGGGTCACCCCGGGGGGCGGTGGGGACCGGGTCACGTGTCTGGGAGTCGGACCCTGCGTGTGAACACGAGTGTGTTAGCATGTTTTTGGCATGTTTTGAGCCTCTTAGCATGTTCTTAGCATGTTCTTGGCATGTTCTTGGCGTGTTTGGGCGTCTTAGCGTGTTTTTGGCATGTTTTTGGCGTGTTGTTGGCATGTGTGACCCCCCCTGACCTCTCTGCTGACCCCTGACCCCCCCCAGGCATGGCGTCGCACAACCGCGTGGGCGTGCTGCTCTTCGCGGCCTCCTCGGGCGGCCTCCCCCCCGGCGAGGTCACCATCGCGCGGCTGCTGCAGGAGCGCGGCTACGCCACGGGGCTCGTGGGTGAGCGGCGGGGTCGCGGGGGGTCGCGGGGGG